AATACGCAAGATAACCAGTGCCGTGCTATAGCATGCTTTGTTTAAGGGGGTTCGACCCCGACACAAGTCTCGATGTCGCAAGCTTCTGCAGACCAACTGAAAAGACCATGTGCAGCACACTGCAGTGGTGCAAGTTTTGGCCATTGGCCCGAATCTTGGTGACTTCCATGTTGCGGCTTATTTCCATGCACTGAGCGACAAATAAGTTTCCACAGGCTTTCCGTGTTTTGAGATCTGAAGTGTTCTGAAGTCCATTCTGCGACCTCCATCACCGGCAGCCTCACCAAAGCGACACGGTTGCCTCTACACGTGGCCTCCGCGCCCGGCAGCACAGGGTCTCTGAAGACTTTATGGGCAGGAGTTGTGAACGCATCCCCTAAGGTCCCACAGGCCGCACATGCTGCAATGAGGTATGTGTGAGAAGCGTGTCCCAAAAATGCTTGCTGTTCATTTTCTTTTTTCGTTGCGTGCGCCGCCAGACATCATCGGGCAATGATCAAATGCCAAGCCACGAGGCGATTGGCAACTACAGACTTTTGCAAATGCAGGCCGGCACCTGAATGCCATCTGAGTCGCTGCATCGTGGTACCCACGCAGGTGCAGTGCCCGCCGTTGGCCCAGTTGAAAGCGCTTCTCCTGGGCGTCCAGCTCCTGGCAGGTGAGGGGAAGTGCAGTGTTTTCGCTTGGGTCCTCTCCCTCTCCCTCGCAAACCCCTCGCCGCTCTCCCCTTCCCCTGGGAGGTGTCGAGACCAAAAGTAAAAGTGATGCAGAAAACAGATCGTTTGTCCTTGTGCCGGGCATAGAACATGTTCTCCGCAACTTTGCCTGAAGCTTTGACAGCTGGAACTGGGGACATGCATCGCCCTTAGCATTGAAAGGCAATATCTGCTGAACAAAAAAGGATCGTGCCCACGACAAGAAACTGGCCAGCTCTTGCATCTCGTCCCGCTTTCTAGAAATAGCTTTGTCTCCAGGCTCTCGAAGAAGCGCCTGCCGAAGGTGGAACCTATTCACTACTCTTCGCGTCAGTACACTGGATCTTGCGCTGATGGGGTAGCAGGTAGCATGTTCAGACTTGATGCATCATTGTGCCGCTTGTGCCAGCCACTTCATGCTGCAAAGTGGAGATTGCATACGTCAGAAGCCGAGCATACTCCAGGGAAGTTGCCTCTTCCAGATCCAGCAAGGCATTGCGTGGGTCTCGCATCTGCTGAAAAGCAGCCGCCCTGCGAAACCAAGCCTCCATGTGTTGATTGACTCATGGCATCAAAACTGAAAGCCCTTCACCAACATTTTCCGCCCTTGGCCAACCCGAAGCACATGACCCAGCGTGTCTCGCCAAAAAACATTACGCAGAAGCAAAACGCAAAGCCTTGGCCGACCGGCCCTGGCTGATCCGCAAAGCCTCGTTGGCGGCCCTGTGTGGGCGCTCTCGTGAAAAGGAGCAAAAGCAGCTGGCAAGGCGCAACCACCAGCAACCAGAGAGTTTCGAGGGTTACCCTGCAGCCTTGCCTGAAGGCTATGACCAGGTTGTTCCTCACCTCCACGAGCATGTGCTCAGCCTTACGGCTTTTGGACCGCACAGCCAGCACCAGCACATTTTAGGATCCTAGAGGATTCTGGGATTCTACATCTCATCACAGAAGCCTCCTAATACAGGAAGGCACACAAGCGGCACAGGAAATATTATGACTCAAAGGTGCAGCATAGGGTTGGGCGGCGCTGGGAGGGTCCTCCACAAGTCCAAGGCCCCAATAAAAAACCACGGCTGTGTTTTGTGGCGCCACACTCTAGAGACTCTATGCATCGCTCCTCCTTCGATTGCTCCATGCCCTTTCGAGCCAGGTCCTGATCAGGACTGCAGGAACAACAGTAACAAGTGCTCCAAGCAACGACTGTCAAGACTCAAGACCTTCCTGGCTGTGGGCAAGAAGGCTGCTGGCACAGAGGTTCAGCAGAATGGAGAGGTGCAAGCTGCTCGCCTGCGCGCTCGCCAGCTTCTCACCGCTAAACCGGAGGACGGCTCCTGGACTCCAAGACATCCTCACAGGGTGCCCACCTGGTAGTCTTCCAAGCTGCCCAGATCGGTCACCTCAAAGGCAAGGCTGCGACACACGCAACACATCGCAAAATGCAGCAAACGTCACTAACTCCAAGAGCAGCTCCGCCTTCTTGTCGGCGTCCCCTGCTTTAGGTGCCTTGCCAAGCTCCTCCAACTGCCTCCTGCGTAGGCGCCAAAGATCGAGACCAGTCGAAGTTGGCTGAGTCTAAAGAAATCAAGCACACCAGCCTCCACCCATCATCCAGATCCCGCCACGGCTTGGCTGAGCTCTGCAGCAGCACCTGGTGGATATTGTTGCGCAAATCATGGCAAACCCTTCCCCCCCTTCAGTCGCCAATCACTGCAGTCAAAGAGTGTGCCATGCAGCCGACGCGCCTTCGCTTTGGAGTAGAACAGCCCCGACAAGTCTGCTTTGCCTGCCTTGAAAGCTTCATTCCCTTGCTTTTTGAGGTTCTCCACTTCCTTGCAACACGCAGCTTGGCTTAGATTATAGCCTTAAAGGGTAGCCTAGTTGTGGGCGAGATGGGAGTGCATACGGCAGCCTACTGGTTGGCACGTGCTTGGCACGTGGCCGGCCCCTGCTTGCCCCTGCTTGGCCTACTTACCTGTGCGATTTTGCGAAAAAGAAGAAAGCACAAAAGTCAATGCCAAGCTTGATATGAGCAAGCGAGTCGCCTGCCGCGAGTCCAGATCCAGCCAGCTGTCCTTTGAATCAAACTTTGACATGAGATGCTCCTCGTCGTCCTCCTCCTCTTGGGTGAGGGCATAGGAGTACACATCTTCCAGCTCTGACGTGTCTGCCAGCTCACGGCTTGCAACGTACAGCGGGCAAAGGAGTCCAGTGCTTCTGGGAGGCCCGAGAAGCAGGGCCCGCTTCACACTTGACGATTGCCAGTCCCAACGGTACTCCTGAATCATGTACCGTGCTGGCTCTACAAGCCCATCTTTGTTGAAGATCATGCCAGAGCCCTGATGGATTCCGAGAATGACAACGCCAGCTCCGCCCAGTTGTTCCACCAAGTCTTCCAGGTCAGTCTCTTCTGTCTCCGGCGCCACAATGTGTGGGAAGATGCACCAACCCTTGAATGGGATGACAGCTTTTTGTGGTCCAGAACAATACCAACTCTTCTCGCCCAGAAGAGTCATGGCTTCCCCTACCGCAATGACCACAGCACCTCTACACAGAGACAGGACAAGTCAGCTGCAGCATAGCAAAGCAGCTGCCTACTTGACCGATGTTCTAGCAAGACGTTAAAGATTGCAGCAGAACAGTCGAACTACGTGGTACTAGGACTAGGAACTCTTGCCTACAAATAGAGCTTTCGTGCGCTCGGAACCTTGCAGGTACCTCCACTTCACATGCTCGGCCACCTCGCTCGCCCCAAGGTCCGTACCAAGAGTCTCCCAGAGACGGCGGCGGTCCCCTCCATCCACCAGGATCAGGTCCGACTGTTCCAGATGCGCGAGCTCAAACCCTTAGGTTCCGTCAAGCAGGAACCAGGGGATGTCAAGATGCTCATATTCAAGAGGCTGCAGTCTGGTGCACAAAGCAGCCTCGGAACTGTTGGGAGGATGGTGGATGTGCCTGCACAGAACGATCCCTATCTCGCCCATTGCCTCCTTGAAAAGCTCGAATGCATCTGTCGCCGAGTCTGTGGCAAAGCCTCTCGAAAACGACCATCAACAACAGGTTCTAGAGCAACCAAGACCATCACAATCATGTGCTCATACTTGCTGACCGGCCTTGCCTATGTAGCTCGCCCTAACAGGCAAGTCGCCAGCCAGTCTCCCCACGCGGCGTGGGAGCTCGCATTTCACGCGATGAATCCAAGGGAGCTTGACGTCTGGATCCTGACATTACAACAAGCAGCCCCCCCTCAGCCCAGAACCGCCTGAGGAGACCTCTGGGGCACAACCGCTGCTGGAAACACAAGCTGTTGAAGGAACAGCTGGCAACCAGTAAAATCTGTGACATATATAAATAAAAAGGTTCTTCAGGTTGTGCCATTCGGCTCCAACTTGGCTCCTGGTGGAAAAGTAGCGAGAAGTCCGCAAGAAAGATCTGAGGGGCTGCAGGCAGCTCCTCCTTCCGTTCCTCGCCCCGGCGTCGCCCCCATTTCACAATTCACGCGTTGGGCAACAGGCGGTAACACGCGGCTCTTCTGTTCCTTCTGCGACTGAGGTCCTGCTGCTCCAGCCACTGCTTGTAGTCTTCCCAATCCTTCCAGGCATGGCATTTGCACATAGCGAAAAACTCTACATTTCAACAGGCCCCCGCTACATTTACAGGTCACGCGATGCTCGGAAGCATGTGGTCCTCGACTGTTGGAGCCGGACATTCCCAACCCTGCTTCTTTCTGGGCCGAGGCTTGTCGCGAGCCTGCCGGCGAGCAACCCTAGAGACAATGCAACTTGGGATGTTCCCCCTTATCCTAACAGTCCCTAGAAGGGATTATAGTACCCCCGATTGTAGTCTCTATTAAGGACTGTTAGTATAAGGGGGAACATCCCAAATGCACAGTGAGTTCAAAAGTCTATTGCTGGATCTGAGAGGCGCACCAAGCTCCAGCCGGGCTTGCTTCGTTTCTCGTCGCCCATGGCTCCGAGGTGGCGCAACCCCCGAATCCCCGGCAACCCCTGCAAAGAGCGTGAAAGCCTACAGAAGCCAACAAAAAGTCAAAACAGTCTTCGCCCAACCGCACCAAAGTTCCACGAGAACCCCCTGCAGTTGCCGCAAAAAGCTTCTTCGACATTTTGGTACGTACTCTGACCCAATGTGGTAACTTCAGTTCTTTTGCTCAATGAGCTGGCTGGTCTTGTTATCTTCTCATCTGGCTCAAAACTCCAGAAAGAGGCTGGGTCGCGAGCATCATCATGTAGCAAAAGGCGGCTACCCTAGCAAAAGCTTTGGGGATCGTGTCCACATGAAAATGAGATCCTCAATGCTCATCCAAAAGGTGCCGTCATCGCCGCCCCGGTAGTTTGTTGCTTCCTCGCAGGCACAGCAGATGGTTCAACGTCTAAGTGTGGCACAGGCTCCTTCCCGCAGTTGTTCGACGTTGTTCGTGTCAAAGTGGCCATGTATGCCGAGTGAACCAAAAAGACGGTGGTGTAATTCTTTAAACTGCTCCTTCATTTCTGGAGTCCACTCACCAAAGGCATTCCTCAGCGAATCGAAGCGCTCAAATCAACTGGCTCCAGGCTAAACATCTGCGGAACCAACTTAACATTTTCAATGATCTGGATGCGGCCAAAGGACGCATCAGACCATTTCCCCTTCCACTCACCCTGGCCCCAGGGATTTCGACCTCAAGCTGGCATGCAGACTGGGAGGTTGGATGTCGACACAGACAACCTTGCAAACTCCCTGAACCCCAAGCCCAGTTCACAGGCTATGGGCATGATGAGGCTTTTTAAGGAAGAACGGGCAACATGGTAGATGGCTCAATGCAACACGAAATCGTGAGCATCACCATCTCCAGGCCCGCCACAGCAAACCAGCTTGTTGCCACAAGCTTCCACGACACGAAGCACTGAATACACCTGAGCAAACAAGGCGAATGCTGCCCTGATCACGGCACTTTGGTGCTCTTTCACGCGCACCACACATCCGTGCAGGCATTAACGGGTCGAACGCTCAGGTATGCCGAAATCACAAATGCAAGGCAGCAAGTACTGAAAGCACGGACCAGGAATACAAAGGATGTGTACAAGGCTCGAACTGTCGACCTAAAGTGATATGCATATATATATATATATGTATGTGTGTGTGACCTATGCTCTACTGGATAATAAATATATGTATACATACATATATATATATATATATACATAATGTCTATTGTCTCTCTCTCTTCTCTCTCGCGCTCGCTCGCTCACTCACTCACTCACTCACGCACTCACGCACTCACGCACTCACTCACTCACTCACTCACTCACTCACTCACTCACGCACGCACTCACGCACACACTCACTCACGCACGCACTCACTCACACACTCTTTATTCTTCTTGTTTTTCTTCTTCTTGTTCTTGTTCTGCTTCTTCCCATACTAACCCAGAAGAATCTCTGATTTTCGCAGCCTCCATCTGCCGGGGGAGTTAGGTTGAGCCGCGTTTGCTGTTGTAGCGGCTCATAGTGTCACATTGGCTACTTAAATTTAGCCAGCGCCAGCTCCGTGCTGCGAACGACTCCAGCTGGGCCACTCGCCGTCCCCATCAGAATGGAGGCCGTTTTCCGCGCATCCGCCGACAGACCGGGTGCAACAATGCTTGTAGCTGCAGAGCAGTCAGAAAAACCTCTGGGGGCTTCCTTGTTCGCAGATCGAGGGGATTCCAGACCACTTCCCTGAACTTGCGATCTTCGCCGCCAGGTCGTGTACGGATTTCCCCTTCCCGGGGTGCCGGTTGGGTTCCACCAACCAACAACTTTTTTTCCAGCCGATCCAGGGGCTCCTCGGTGACTGCGTTCTCCTCTGGCCATAGCGGGCCACCTTCGTACCGAGGGATGAGCTCTTCATCTGGGAGGAAGCTATCCTCCTGCTGCTGATACCCCATTTTTGCCCAAAAGCCTTGAGCTGCTGCTGTCGGTGCGGGGTAAGCGACGAGAATGTCAACACCTTCTTGGCGCAACAACTCCTCCACGGCAACAACCAATTTGCTTCCGTAACCCTTCCGCTCCTCCCGAGCGCTCATGTGCATGATTTGTCCCCACATCTTGCAGTATCGGCGATACGGGTTCATGCGCACGGTGCAGGCTGCCAAAACCTGCTCCTCCCTGTTCTTTGCTTTGCAAACGTTCTTGGGGACTTGCCCCTCAGCACACAGTACAAATGTGCGGCACTGCGCGTGGCCCGCGATCACGCGCGTGCGCACCTGACACGCTTCACGTATGAAGGTTCCCTTGGAAAGGTGGCACTCATAAGCGGCCCACCTGTGGGCATTTTTGCTGGCCTCGAAGGCGCAGCAGCCCCCAGACACTCGTGCCGCCCTACGCGGGCTCCGGCTTCGGTCCCGGCTGCGGCATGGCATGGCGGCACGGGCGGGCTAGCCCTCGCGTGTTCTATGTACAAGCCCTGGGAAATCTAGCAGCTTCAGAGCCGGAGTCTGCCAGATGCATGGCCATGATCAAACAACTGATCCAGCAAACCCACGTCAAGGGTTCCGTTGTTAAAGAAGCCGCTCGTCCTGTTGAGCTTTCCGGGAGAATCCCCGCCCCCGTCTCCCCCCATCCTAAACCCCACCTACTCCTTCACACATCTCCCGGTTGCTCGCGACGCCTGCACGCTCGGCTTTCCTTCAGTTGCGATTTCTCAGTGGACCAACTCGCCATACACAAGCACACGCACATACTTCTGACTCCCGAAGTCCCAGCTTGTGTACTGAGGAGCTGTTGAGGGGCTGATGGGGATGAGGGGATGTTCTGCTTGCCTTTATTTGGGCTAAAACACCCAGGAGGGCGATGAGCTTGGGGTACGTCAGCACAGCCAATGCCTTGCTCTGTTCTCCCCTTTCTTAGACGCCTTACCGTTTCTGAGACATGGTGAAACCCCACCGACTCAGCAGCCATATGTTGGGCATTGTTGGGTGAAACCCAGGGCAACGGAGAATGCACAACCGGGGTAGGGGACGAAAGGGGTACTTGCTTACTTGCTCCATCCTTCCGCCCTTCCATCCTTAATTTCATCCTTCCTTGCTTCCATGCATCCATGCTTCCATGCTTCCATTCCGTCCTTCCGTCCTTCCGTCCTTCCATCCTTCCATCCTTCCCCCTGCCATGCTTCCATTCTTCTCTCCGTCCCTCCTTCCTTCCTTCCTTCCTTCCGTCCTTCCGTCCTTCCGTCCTTCCGTCCTTCCGTCCTTCCGTCCTTCCGTCCTTCCGTCCTTCCGTCCTTCCGTCCTTCCATCCTTCCTTCCTTCCTTCCTTCCTTCCTTCCTTCCTTCCTTCCTTCCTTCCCGCTCTCTCCTCCTCTTCTTCTTCTTCTTCTTCTGCACGCTTGAGGGCTCGCTCTCGTTCTCTCTCTCTCTCTCTCTCTCTCTCGACACGCATGGCCCCCCAGAGGGGAGCCGCCCCGAAGGGCGCGAGAGTCCCATGTGCCGCGTCTGTTGGCGCCCCCACGGTCTTCGTGGGGCTTGTTTTGGATGGGCCGTGGGCCCAGAGTTGTATCTGATGCCCACTCTGTGCCCCATCTCAAGGTGAGAGCTAGGGGTGCTGTGCTGTTCTCCCCCCTTTTGTATGTGCTGTTTTGGCCCCCGCAAAGAAGAAAGCATGTACAAACAGAGGGTTGCAAGTACGGCTAGATGTGTTCAGTCCCCCGGGCCTCAGCACCTTAGTAAGTCACTACCCGCTCCCTCATGTGTGCGTCTGCGTCTGGAGTCTATGCCATGTTCTGGTGGTGAATCGTGTAGTCGGGGACGTCGTCGGTCGCTACTGGCGTCCATTGTCTTGGCCTTCTTCGCCCCCCTGTCCGATCTGTCTTCGTCATCATCCGCCCCGTCGCTTGGTGGAAAGGAGGGTGTGAGTGGTGTGGTGGGGGGTGTTGGGTATTCTTCGGTCTGCTCGGACTCGCCCCCGGGTGGCCCCATGCGGTCCGGTGATGGTGGGTGGAAGGGGACAGTGTCTGGGGTGAGTTCGCCCGGCTGCTGGTCAGGGTCTCGTGTTGGCTCCGGTCGTGGCAGTAGGGGTTGTGTCTGGGTGTCCGGCAACCAGATGGGCTCTTGGAAAGGAGCCTCCAGCCATTGGTCGAGTGCCTGGAGTGCCTGTGCCGCCAGCTGTGCTTCCTGTTGTACTAGGAAGGGCATGAGCCGAACTAGGTGTGCTCTGGCTGTGCTAACCCCGTTGGTGTTGTATGCTGGGGGGGGCCTGTCTTGATTGCTCTCTTGTTGCCCCGCTGCAAGCTGCAGGACGTCCGCCGGGTGTGCCCCTTGTGGTGGTGGGTGTTCCGGCTCTCGATGTAGGGGGGGGGGGGGGGCGGCCTGTGAGTGTGGTGGCTGTGCCGTTGGTTGTGACCATTGCGGGGCTTCAATCACCACCGCGTGTGCGTCTCTGGCTTGCTGTGTGAGAGAGAGGATCTCTCTAAGCCGCTGCTCGGTGCGGTGGTTGTGTTCTTTGCCTCGGGTGTGGTGGGGGTCATGGTGGAGTGCCTCTGTGGTGTCGGTGACGAGGCTATCGAGTGCTTCCAGGCTGTCGTCTGCTGCAACTTCTGCTCCCCCCCACCGTTGCCAGTCTTTGACTTTCGCCACCTGGTTCATGCGCTTTATGCCGTAGGTGAGCAACACCCTCGTGGTGGCCAGTATCTGGAGGAGTTGTGTGGGTGGGAGGTGCTGCAGCTGTTCGATGGTCTGCTGGAGCTGTCTGGCTGCCTCGTCTAGTTCAATGGCCCTGGTCGGGACCGGGGGTGGGCCAGTTCCTTGTTGTGGCCTGGTTGTGTTGCCCCTGCGTGGTCGATGCGGTGTCGTGTTGGCTCCGGGTGAGATTCTCCGGCTCCCCTCTCAGGTGCCGGTGTCAGGCCCTGGTGGTTGCTGTGGCGGTGGTGGTCATCGACGGGGAAGTGTTCTTGTATGATGTGTATGCATGTGTGCAGGTGCGCAGCCGTGTCTGTGCCGTTGCTGAGGTTGATGTCGGCCAGCGCCAGGTTGATGTGGTGCAGGAGCCGCTGGCGTCATGTGTGTGTTTTGTGGCGTGTGTTGGCTTGGTGCTGGGCTGTCTTCACAGACTGGTGTGGGTGGTGGCTTTTTGCCCCGGGTAGGATTTGGGGGCTTTCTGGCGCTTGCGCTGTGGCTGCGTCCGGGTTGCTGCATGTTTGGTGCGCGGCTTGGCGGTTTGCATCAGGCTGGTGGGCTCCGTGGGCTTCTGGGCGGGCTGGTTCCTCGTGCTCTCCGTCGTGCTGGTGGTGGTTGTTGTGGTGGTGGTGGACGTGTCTGTCCAGTCGCGGTATTGGTGGTGGTAGTTCCAGTTCCACCAGCTGCCCCATTGCCAGGTGCCCTGTTGGTCATGGTGGTGCTGCTGCGGTTGGGGCATTGGGTGCTGCTGCTGCGGCATTGGTTGGGTCGCCCAGTCAGGCCCTTGTTGTGGTGTATGCTGCTGCAGCTGCTGCTGGGGTTCTTGTGGTTGTGGTGGGGGTTGGGATGCCAGGTCTGCTGCAGCTGGCGTTGTGTCGCTTGGGTCGGGTTGGGTGGCAGGGCATGGGTCTGGCCGCGGTTGTTCTGCGGGTGCTTGCGTGTCTTGTGGTGTGGTGGGGGTCATGACCGGTTCGTTGGCCGTGGTGTGGGTGTCAGCCGTGGCCTGGGTCCATGTGGGTGCTCCCTGGTTGTCGGCGTAGCGGAATTGGATCCAGGAGTCGGGCTCGAGGTTGCGATAGGGCCCCCCTGGGATGCTGCGGAGTTGGAGGGGCGTGGGCGTGTGGTGAACGTGGAACGTCCACAGGTCTGGCTGCAGGTCGTCTCTATAGACGTACCCCTCTGTGCACGGGGGCATGCCAGGTGGGGTGTGTGAGCTGGACGCTGTGGCGGCATGTGCGTTTGCTGCCTCCTCGTCACTCCGG